TCCCTGGTGGCCCAGGCAGTTGAGCACAGTGCTGTGAAGCTGTCAGCAGCCTCTGCAGTGTCAGTTCGATCCCCGCTGGCCAAGGAGCAACCCACATGCCGCGGCAGACCTCTCCTATCTCACCCGTTGCTCCCCTCAGCAGTGTATTTTGGTCAGTCTGCCTGTTCTGTTCCCCACTTTGTCTCTGGTGAATCCTCTCACCCTCCTGCACTTCTGGCCTGTACACTGGTTCTTGTATAAATGAAAAATAAACCTTAAAAAAAAAGTTACAGCCTGAAACTAACAGGTCAGTAAAATTTGGACCCAATACAGTAGACATTATTAATGAATGACATATACATAAGTACATATATATACCTGTTCATTCCTTTGTCATTATGATATATTCTTATACTACACATGGGTAATATGATTATATTAACATTTAGGAAATCTGAGGTTTTTTCCCTCAATTGATTATATATATATATTGATTATATGTAGTATATAAAATTTATGTTAACATAAAAATAGGCTTTTATAGTGGTTGTAGGTATTACATTATATATAAATTGTATATATTTTATATACTAAATTAACATTTATATAAATAATTTTATATAATATAATAATATGTATTATATACATATATAATGTAATACTCCCCAAATAAAAACTGTTTTGGATGTATTATACATTCAGTTATATATAAAAAGAATCATATATTGTGACCAAGTGTGGCTTATGCTAAGGATATGAAGCTGGTTCAATATTCAGAACCAATCAATGCAATAGCATATATTGACAGGTTAAAGAAGAAAAATCTTATTATGTTCATATAGCTCAATGCAGAAGTGTTTGATGACATCCACTGATAAAAACTTTCAGAAAAATGAAAATGGAAGAGAATTTCTTTAACTTGATAATGTAAAAAAATTTACAAGTAATATTATACTTAGTGATGAAAAACAAAAGAACATACAGACATGTATATGTAAGAATGCAAAGGCTCCTGAGACCCACAACTTTAAGAATCGCTGTTTTGGGTGTTAAAACCATTCTTGTTGACTAAGGGTCATAGAGAGCCAATCCCTGAAAGCTGACCTTAGAACTGGGGCATCCAGAGGGGGAGGGGTAAAACAGGGTAAGGAGAGAGTGCAATGAACTATGGTGGACTATGGGTGCCTGGGTGATGGTTGAGCTATGGCAACTACACTTCAAGGGGGAGATCCTATTCTCCCAAATGCTAACAACAATGTAAACCAATGGTACTTCACAAAAAAATTTTTTTTAATTTTCTTGTTGATAGTTGTTATGAGTTCAAAAAAATTCTAAAACAAGCTCATGTACCAAAAGGAGGATGAGAAAACAAGAGTGTTGAGTCTATAGGAGAGGGTCTTGTGTTCCCAGAGAAAAAGAGAGTTAAACTACTGCCCTTCCTACATTGGGACAGAAGCATGGAATTGTTGAGATTCTACATGGAATACTGTTCCCACTGGATTTTTCTAGTAGGTCCTCACTCACTTGTGAGACCACTACAGTTGGCCCCCAAATAAAAGATCAGTAATTTGGAAAGCAATCTCTAGTTATTACTCTCCTTCTTAAAGACAATATTATACTCCAGAGGAGTCTGAATTGCTTCTCCTCCAAAAAAGAACAAGAAACATTTCACCAATTAGACTTTTCCCAAAATAATGATTTATAGTCTATCCATTTATTTACAGAGGTGATGCATTTATAACAGAATGAGGTGGCTGTAATAAATTTTAGATGAAACCTATGACAATGAATCCTTTTGAATTTTATTTGCTGGCCTTATTGTTGAGTTAATCTTCAAAATGCCTCCACCTACAAGGGGAAAGAACAATTGATGAGTTCATTTCTAAATTTAAAACCTGTCATTTAAATGAAGCACAATGAAATGGTCTAATTTTTAAATGAAATGCCATCAGCAGTCTCCTGGCATTCCTCCCAGCTGACAGGCAGCCCAGTCCTGGTCTCCGGGAAGAAGCACTGGTCTGTTAGACAAGTTAATTCAGATGAGAGAATATTTGGGTGAGCACACACTTCAGCCCCAGAAAGAAGGTCATTCTTTCTGCTTCACCTAATTGCCCCACTATGTCCCTGATATCTTGATAGTTTCCCCCTTTATTGACTTAATGTCCATTTTTTCTCTCGTTTTTTTTATAATTTTTTTAAAGATTTATTTATTTATGCATATAAGAGCTGGGGTACAGGCCAGAGGTGCAGGGGTGGGAGTGAGAGGATTCACCAGAGACAGAGTTGGGAACAGAACAGGCAGAATGACTGAAACACACTGCTGAGGGGAGCAGTGGGTTAGACTAGAGAGGTCTGCTGTGCCATGAGGGTTAGTTCCCTGGACTGGGATTGAACTCATGTTGCAGTGGCTGAAGATAACTTGATAGCGTTGAGACTTTAACCCCTGGGAGGCAGACTGACTGAAATACACTGCTGAGGGAAGCAGCAGGCGAGACAGAAGAGGTCTGCTGTGCCATGTGGCTTGCTCCCTGGCCAGGCCAGGGATCGAACTCATGCTGCAGAGGCTGCGGATTGCTTCATAGTGCGGTATTTAACCCCTTGCGCCACCAGGGAGGCCCTTTTCTCTCTTGTTTTATCATTTTTTTTAATTTCTACCAGTTTTTCTTGGTAAGTCAGTCCTTATAATAATGCTCACATTTTCCAAATTTCCAGAGACAATCCCATTCACTAAGGTAGTGACCACCCACTGATCATTTCCTCTTTAATCACCCCTTCAACTCCCAGACTCCAACCTGCAAATCCACTCCACCTGACCCAGGGGATTACGTACGTCCTGCAAGCACAGCCTCCTTTGAGTTGGCTGACTGGGTTTTTAGCTAATCTATCCCCTTTATGTCAAATCATAAAATAAGCTGGAAATAGCTGTTCAAAAATAAAACAACCTGTATATATTTTAAGCACTTTTCTAGTAAGCTTGTGTAGTAATTGTTTCCATTGCCTTACAGCTAGCCTTAAACATCTCAATGATGCTGAGGGAATGTGCATGAGAATAAAACTATCTGCTTTCAAACCTCCCAGGTGGCGCAAGGGATTAGGCCTCAGCACTATGAAGCTATCTGCAGCCACCTCAGCCAGGGAGGTGGCCCACATGGCACAGCAGACCTCTCCTGTCTCACCCACTGCTCCCCTCAGGAGTGTATTTCAGTAGATCTGCCTGTTCTGTTCCCTGCTCTGTCTCTTGTGAAGACTCTCACAACTCCCCGCACCTCTGGCCTGTACCCCAGTTCTTCTATGCATAAACAAATCTTTAAAAAAATTCTGCTTTCTGTTTGTTGTCATTGCCCATCTTTTGACTAACTTCACAAATTCAGTATCTTCATACCAGACTGTCCACTTTAAAATTTCATAGCCTTAAGTTAAAGTGTGTCTTGAGAAATGTTGTTTTTTTTTTTAACAAACTGTACTCTTGCTTTAGCAAAATAAAATGTTTTTAGTATCAGAGATATTCTTTTTTTTTTTTAATTTATTTATTTTTTATTTATTTATACAAGCACTGGGTGCAGTCAGAAGCGCGGGAGGGTGAGAGAATTCACCAGAGCCAGAGCGGGGAGCAGAGCAGGCAGAAGGACCGAAGTACACTGCTGAGGGGAGCAGCGGGCGGCAGGAGAGGTCTGCACGCCATGTGGGACCCTCCTCTGGTGGCCGGGGAGCAGCCAGGGATCGAACTGGCGCTGCAGAGGCTGAGGGCAGCTTCGCAACCCAGTGCTCAACCGCTGCGCCACCGGGGAGGCCCAGTATCAGAGATATTCTAAATGGACATTTTTTTTCTTTAGTCTTGCTAATGATTTTTATTCTTTATTTTGAGTGAAAGCGTCACTTTTAGGATTTTATGCCATTTTCTTTGTGAGGGAGAACGTGAGTCTGCATGTGAAAACTCCGTATTCTATTATTGGTATATGTAGCAAAAGCTAGGTGTATTGTTCAGTCCTGCCTTTCAAAACAAAGGTCCTTGTGCAGGTCATACCCTCACTCTGAGAGGATGGTGCCTTGCATAATTTTCTGCTCTCTCTCAGTAGGCATCCCAGCCCAGGGCCTTTTGATGTGGGAAGTACAAAGGCCTGATCCTCTTGCCTCAGTTCTGGAGGGCTCAGGGGCCACTCCAGTTCTGGATCTCCCCTGTAGGGGAAGCCTGAGGCCTCAACTCAACCACATCACAGTCCAAACTCACCCTTTGCCAGTTCCAACCCCTTTCACTCTGACTTTCCAACAGCATCCCCAATAAATGTAATGCATAAAAATAAAACCGAGAGTCAGCTTTGGAAACTGACAGGGTCGTTTCAAGAGTCTATTGCCGTTTTAGAGACCTACGGAGGCAAGATTTTAGACCCTCTACTTGAAAATCTTGCCTTAGATTTAGTTACTGCACATAAAATCAGAATTAGTTGGAATCTTCTTTAATACAGAAATCCCAAACTTGCTGTACCCTCTCCAATAAGCCTGAGTTCAAGAGCTATCACCAAAAGACCTGTAGAACAAAAACACAGGTCACCTCAGGCCTCCCCTGGTGGCACAGCGGTTGAGCACTGGGTTGCGCCGGTTAGGTCCCCGGCCGCCGGTGAGGGTCCCACAAAAAAAAAAAAAAAGAAAAACACAGGTCACCTTACCCCTTTTCCAGGAAGACTGGGACATGCAGGCAAAATCAGTTTTGCCTTTAAGGGAGCCACAGATACCACCCCAGAAACAATGAATAACTATACACAGTTTTGTACACAACTGCTGGAGGATAATACTACCCCCACCACCACCAGAGTAAGGGGGGCTGGAATGGGCAGAGGGTGAGTTTGGATTGTGGTGTAGGTGGGCTCCATAAACCCAATTTAAGAAGCATTGATTTATAGTGAAAGTAACAGGAAGTCAGTACAAGAAATGAAGAAAAGAAGGTAAAAAAGAAAGTATATCCAAAAATGTCCTAGTTCTTCACATGATTTCATCAATAGGTTTTAATTGACCAAAAATCAGTCTCAACTTACATTTTCCAAAGTCAAATTTGGCGTAGTTGAACTTCTTTCTTTACTATATTTCTTCTTGACACAATAGACACTGACAAGGGTGATAATCAGCATCACGGCAAACACAGTGACAGTGGAGGAGACAGCAATGACAATGGTGTCGTGAGTGGAGCCTCTCTTCTCACACTTTTCTCCCATGTACCACCAGTCTGGCCCTGATGCACACCTACATATGTAGAACATGACTGAGAGTTAGGAGTTGATATTTAAATCTGAAAAGCTTCACCACGAAAGGTGTGGGTCAATGTTCAGGTTTTTGACAAATGGAACCATTTCACTCACTCTGGACTGGAGCGGTCAGGAGGCCAGGTGGGGCCAATGGAAAGGAACAATGGGATTTTTCCTAATGCAGTACTCAGAGAAGCTCCAAGGTGGAAAAGAAAAGTAGGATAGGCAATGAAGAAAATCTCATTCCATGTCCCCATCTCTCCGCCTCCCAGCAATACACCTTGGCTCCCTCATCTCAGAACTTAAGTATCTTCATCTACGAAATGGGGCAATCACACTGAACAGAACAGACTGTTAGGAGGACTTCAAAAGATGATGTCATTCATGAGTGATGGAGGATAAGAATAGAAAAGTTGGGGGCCTCCCTGGTGGCACAGGCTGTTGATCGCAGTGCTGTGAAGCTGTCAGCAGCCTCTGAAGTGCCAGTTCGATCCCCGCTGTCCTCGGAGCAATCCACATGGTGAGCAGACCTCTTCTGTCTCGCCTGCTGCTCCCCTCAGCAGTGTATTTCGTCAGTCTGCCTGTTCTGTTCCCCTCTCTGTCTCTGGTGAATCCTCTCACCCTCCCGCACATCTGACCTGTACCCTGGCTCTTGTATAAATTAAAAAAAGAAAAGAAAAGAATAGAAAAGTTGGAAAGAAGACACCACAAGACCAGAAACCTGGCTCACACACTGCCAGGATCTGGAGGTAGGGGAAGAATGGCTAATGGTTCCAGATATAGGCTAATGTTCCAGATATATAGGATATAGGCTAATGGTTCCAGATACAGGAACTAAAAATCCTAGGCGCCAATGTCTAGATCACAAGGCACAAGATCCAAGTAGGTGCCAGACTGCTATAGAGAATGTCACCAGCGTCACCAGAGGTAAAGAGATGGAGATTGAGGGCCATTGTAGGATCTCTGGATCCTTTCAAATTCTATGAAGTTAACCAAAATTAACAACAAACAAACCACTCCACAAAGGAATGAGCCCCTCCCGAAGAGAAAACAGTATCAGGGCAATTTCTGCACCTGAACCAGGCAGCAATCCCTCCACCCACCTGTGCCTATGTAGGGGCTTCTCTTCACCAACCTTTTCCTTTTGTAGTGCAGGAGCTGCGGCCCTTCTGCCCACCTGTCTATGCAGGAGCTCCCAGCCCCTAACTTCCTCCGCAGGGCAGCAGCCTCCTGCCTGCCATGACTGAAGCCATGCCGGAGCTTCTCTTCACTGACCTACCTCGGCAGAGGCAGCTCTCTCCTACCAAAACATCCTGCTTGCGACCATGCAGGGCTCTCTTTTAGCAAACCGTCCCTGTTGGGGCAGCTCTTTCTGCCCACTTGTGTCTATGCATGTATCATTTTTCCTTCTCTCCTTTTTCATAATAAACATCTTTTGGATATAACTACATTTCTTTCCCATGGAGAAACTTGCCTGGGAAACTTGCCCTGTGCCTCTGAAAGGGGAGCTCTGGTGAAATTTTTCCCAGAGTTAACCCAAGGACCCCACTCTCTAAACCCAACATCTCCTTGGCTGTGTCAGACAATTAGATTATAATGTGCTATTTTTGTCATCAATGATTTCTTGGCTCTGTAGTTATCCAAAGTCCACATGGACAGAGAAGGAAAAAATCCTCTGCTTTTGTGATTAGAAGCAACTGATACTTACTCACAGAAAATATCAATATTTAATCCTACATTGTGGGAATGATGACGTTTCTAACAAAATTTCTAACGTTTCTAAGGGGGGTGCTAATGATGACGTTTCTAAGGGGGGTGCTTATCCAAGCTACATCTTACCTGCACACAGCTTTGTCGTTTTGGATGACGCAGACGCCATCATTCTCACATTTGAAGTTTTGGCAGAGGTCCCGGATGCCTCCAGAGGTTGGGGTTGGGGTAGGGATTGGGTGGGGTGGTTGTGTAGAATTAAGATGGCCGATGTCTATGGAGTTGGGGGAGAGCAAGGATAAAATCAGTTTGGACTTTAGCAAGCATTTGATCTTCACATTTTAAAATAGGTGCTTAGGTTTCAGGGGTATGAGAAATGCAGGCAATCTGGAAGCAGCATAACTTCCTAAGTAGTGAAATAATAAAGAGGCAAGTTGAAATCTAGATGCAAAGGAAAGTGAGACCAGCAGCCTGTGGGTTACAACTTAACCACCTGCTTGCCTGGGCATGTCTGAGCTCAAAGGGGCCCAAGCCCTTGTGACCAGGTCCCAAGGAAACCATAGACATGGAAGACAGCTGAGGGCTTCCCAAAGTCACAGGCCTCTTTCTTGTTAGAGCAATTTGGTACATGTTTGGCACAAGACCCACAGCCCCTAGCAACCACATTCTGTTCTTTGTGGTGTTTTCTGTTGCTTCTGATCCAAACAAGACCAGATACAATGGATGAATATGTGACTTTTTCTCTCTAAATTAAATGCTTTCTCCCTTGACAAAAGTCATCTCTGAATAAGTGTTTCCAACAAGTATCATCTAGACTCACCCTAATTGACACTGAACTCAAAATCTCATGGGTTTTAATTGCACCAATTTTTATCATAAATAAGATTCTGATTTATTGAAATGCAAGTGGGTCTTTAATTGTAAATGAATTAAATACATCTGAAGAGGTGTTAACCTATTTCCCTAAACTATATACAGTTGTGTAAACAGATGTTAGCTCAATTTAAAAAATGTTAAAAATTAGTAATGCCTTAAAGTCCTACCACAGAAAACATGGAAGCCACCAGCAATACTGGAAAATGTATCCATTGGCTGCTGTGGCTAAAAAATTTTGAGATTTTTAAGAGAAAATAGATCAGTATTATTATTGCCAAAATATGTTTGTGCATATGTGTATACCTATGTGTGTATATCTGAGATAATAGAGAAATTCCATTTCAGTTTAATAAGTCTTTGTGTGATGTTTTATTTCTGTTATCTCAAGGTATAAACTATACTTTAACTAATTTGTAAGGTTTTCTGGCCTAAAGTCTTCCATGAGTGCTCCAAGTAGTAGTAATTAAATTCTTTATCCTAGAACTTTTATTGTTTCCATTTAAATTATTTTCATATAGTTAATGATTCATATTTAAAAAATCCACTCATGCCCATTTCCTCCCACACTCTAATATACCTAAAAATTGAGCCCAGAAGAAGACAGTAAATAAGGTTCCCCCAAAATAATCTTATATAAAATGACTTTTATTGACATACCTTCCACTGTCAGTAGCATATAAACAACATCTCCTTTTATAAAATCTCTGCTTTTCAGCCTCAAATGGGTTATAAAGGAACTGGTACCAAGGCCCGGGCCTCTTTTAAACTGAGTTCCATTAGGAAACGAAGCGTCTTTTCCCACTTTGGAAGGCTTGTCCCAAAAATAGTTTCCATCAGCTGAAAAAGCAATTTATGTTTATGGATTGTGTTTAGCATCACCATCGCTTTTGGTGGTAAGAAAGAACAGACAGTGTGAAACACAATTGGGATGGGGCTGAAGATAATTAAATGACTGGCAAGTCACTGAAGCTTGTTCACTTATACTTCCTGAAAGAAATAAGATGGCCAGGCAGTGAGGACCAGGTTCTGGGATATGAGTGGAGAGGGACTAAATGTTTCCCAGGTGAAGTTATCATACCCATAGTGACTAACCTGTACAGAAACTCCCCTGCCCATTAGAACCATTCCTTTGTGGACTTTTTCTGAGTTATACATAGTCCTTTTAATTGAGTTAAATAAATATGTTGCTGAAAAAGCTTTTAATATTAACATAAAATAATTTATCTCATTAACTGATTTTTTCACCTAACAGAGTCCTTTTGGGACTGGAACATGGTGAGAAACAAAGTTTCTGGGAAAAGGTGAACACCCACCCAGCTTTGAGCCATTTTCAGTGTCATTCAAGGAAAAATGTTCTGAATTGAAAGTGAAGAAATTCTGACTGTTAAGTCTCTACAAATCCTCTTTCTAAATGTTATTTTTTCTTATCAGTTTAGGGTTTTTTTCCTACCAGCAAGGTCCTCTTTCTTTCTTTCTTTCTTTCTTTCTTTCTTTCTTTCTTTCTTTCTTTCTTTCTTTCTTTCTTTCTTTCTTTCTTTCTTTCTTTCTTTCTTTCTCTTTTTTCATACATAAAAATCACATTGGGTAATAATATTCACCTTGTCATACTTGCATTTTTTTTTCTTTATCCAGTTACCAGAGGGCAAAAGATTATTAAATTTAGAAATGTTATCATTACTTTCTGGTTGCAGTTCCCCTTTGAGACTGGAAGATGATGAATGATGTCACCATTAGCAAGTCCTCCTGAACTTACAGAGAAATTATAATCCATTCTCATATCTTTCCGTACCCCCCAGAGCATCTGGTCAACATCTTCCTTCTCATCAAAAGTCATCCCCCATTACAAGAGCTGAATTGTTTTTGACAACTTCAGTGACAAGATCAAGACAATAAGGGTTAGGAGAACTCAACATCTGAAGGTCATTCAATACCAGCTACTTCTACAAGCTTCCATATTTGATCTGTAGTAATTCTCATAACAGATCTGTGCAGTTATTATTGCCCCAATTTTACTACTGAGGATACTGGGACTCTAAAAGATGATTTGCTCAAGGTTTCATAAGTAATGAGAAGCAAATCATACATTTGAACCCCACATTTCAGATTCTAAACCAACATCCCTTGTATGATACTGAGATTTCAGGTACGGTCATTAATTCCCAAGAATACAGTAAATATCTTTATTTGCCAGACTCCCCCAATGACGTTCCTGACAGTCTCCTGCCTGGGAGTCTCTGTCCACAACTGCTAAAGCCCTTCCCCTAAATATCTTCTGTTCTAAAGATTTTGGGGTTCAAAATTACCTAGGTACTTGACTGTGCAGTTTCTCATTCCCAAATCATTCATCCCTCCTGGAGTAATGATCATGTATTTGCAATAAAGAAAATGAGTCACGAACCGGTGGTCCTAAATGGATCTGTAGTTACACTCCGCTGGTTGGACATACGCTGTCGAATGTCAGGATTTTGATCCAAGAGTGTCATCGTGGCTTGTAGCCAAGGACATGGCCACTGTAATTGATCATCATTGGCTCCAGAGATCAAGTGGAAATATATTGCTGTATCACTTGAATGGTTTAGATTCAAGGAAATCTGAAAGGCATAACCTTTAGAAGAATAATATGGAGGGCTATATAGAACTCCATTTGGGCTGCCAATGAGCTGTGTGAAATTCTTTATATGCCAGATATGATGAGGGCACTGTGTCTCTGAAAGATTGATGTCATCAATTGACAGGCCACCCAATGATGTACCAGCGCCTTTGACCCCTTCAAAAACCACTCTAAATTTCTTGGTCACTTTCAATGTTACGTAGTAAAGTTGCCAGCTCCCAACAGGTATATCTACAAAAGAGACATTATTTCAGAGAGTTCAAAGGAACCACGAATCACATGCAAATCAGAGTTCTAACCTTCATGGTCAGTGATTGTCCTAGATCTTCTGATTCCTACATTTGGTACTTTCACTCCTCCAGCCCAAGCCCATTCACTTCAAGGTATTTCTGTGGGATTAGACTGCTCTCTGGAATATTTGAATGTTTATCTAGTCATTTCGCAGATAACTCACCCTTCCCCAGAAATAGAAGAGCAAACTACAGTATCTAACTCATGAGTACTGATGAGTTACTTCCCATTCTATGCTAGTTAAATGGCTAAATTTAATATTCTATATTTATTTCCAAGATTCCTGTCATACTCAGTATAAGCTTCCTTTAATATATTTATAGTTTGATAGGAATCTTCACATACAAAATTTCCATCAATTTTTTGCAATATAAAGTAGGTATTTACCATTTCCTTGAAAGCCCAGATACTATAATTTCCTGCTTAGCTTAATATTGGCTCAATATTATATACATTTACCTGATATTTTATTTCAACTCTTTTCTCCCCAATGACTTAAAACTTAAACATATTGGGACTTAATATGAAACACAATTGCTTGAAAATAAGTTAGAAATATCCAAATTAGAAAAAATTCTGTTATCGATATTATCAGTATAAATTCTGAACTCCTGGGCCTCCCTGGTGGTGCAAGGGGTTAAGCACTGCACTATGAATCAATCCACAGCCTCTGCAGTATGAGTTCGATCCCCGGCCGGCCAGGGAGAAACCCACATGGTGCAGCAGACCTCTCCTGTCTCGCCCGCTTCTCCCCTCTGCAGTGTTTTTCAGTCTCCCTGTTCTGCTCCCCACTCTGTCTCTGGTGAATCCTCTCACCTCCATATCTTTGGCCTGTACCCCAGTTCTTGTATGCATAAATAAATAAATCTTTAAAAAAAAATTCTGAACTCCTAAGTGAGTCTATTAAATGTCTTTTGTGCTATTATTTATCAATGATATTTACAGATTGCTAATGCAAAATATATGCACACACAATGTATATGTTCTATATAAATATATATTCTATATCATTACACATGAAGTATTTAAATTATATATTAAATACTAATAATAGTATGTGGTATGTTTATAATATATACACATACACATATAGCAAACATATATACAGATATGTATAAAGCAAATCTTTTGTGCTGTTATATATCAATATCAACAGATTGTTAATGCAAAGAAAATATGTATATGTACACATAAATATCTATGATATATAATTAGAAATTAAATATTTGATTCATATGTTATATACTGACATACATAATATTCATGATATGTTTATAATATATACACATATACACATATATGTATATATTTGTGTTTTTATGTATTTGTGTGCATACATGTACATATATACATAAAACAAACCTCATAGCAAGTGTTCATAAAGAAAATTATCTGTGTTTCTGATTATGGGGGAGAAATGGCAGGACATAAAGCATAATATTGATTGATTTTATAATGGGTTTTATTCAATTCTTTCAACCAAGAGGTCAATATGTGGAGCAGACAGTCATACATTTGCCAGCTCGCTACTTCTCCCTTCCTCAGGGAATGCTCTTAACCGTCTGCTTTAAAGGGTCAACATGACCCAGCACCTGACACAGTATTGGAATGAAGGGTGGGTGCCCGGTCTCAGTGTTGCTCCGTTCACTCAGAAAAAAGTTCCAAAAGTCACGCTTAACCCAAGTGATAACAATCAGAGTCCTTCACTGGGATTTATTTTTTTTTTTAAGATTTGTTTATTTATTTATACAAGCACTGGGTACAGTCAGAAGCACGGGAGGGTGAGAGAATTCACCAGCGCCAGAGCGGGGAGCAGAGCAGGCAGAAGGGCCGAAGTACACTGCTGAGGGGAGCAGCGGGCGGCAGGAGAGGTCTGCGCACCATGTGGGACCCTCACCCAGTGGCCTGGGAGCAGCCGGGGATCGAACCAGCGCTGCAGAGGCTGCGGGCAGCTTCGCAACCCAGCGCTCAACTGCTGCGCCATTGGGGAGGCCCTGGGGTTTATTTTTTTAACCAGAAATTAGAGGAAGAGTCCCTTTTCCAGTCTTAAGGCACTTGGTAAGATGTAAACTGGAAATACCAAAGTACCAGTTTTATGGACAAAGACCATCTGAGATAACGTAACATTATCTATTTCACAGTTTGGTTACATTTAGCCAGTAGCTTTTCCCATATTGCCTTAGCTAGTCCCTATTACATTTTTATTATTTATCAAGAACTGAATTCCACAGAAACAAAGATTACTTTAGTTTCTTACAAGAATGTCACACAACATAGCACCTCACCATGGCATAAAATAAGGGGGATCAAGTTCGAAGTAGAAAAGTATTGAGTCCATAGCACCTACCCTGTTATATGCTGTTGCATTAAGAGTTAAGACTGAACACAAAGAGTAAGACTGTTGACACTGTACCTTTTATTGTTTTCACAAGGGTTAAAGTACCATTCGCATCATTTGCAGAATACTCCCGGATATAAATGCTCATTTGGTCATTTTCATTTCCGCTGTTATATAAATAAAATTCCAAGCACTGAAATCCCCTTTTAGGGTACAGTGTTCTGCTTTCCAGTATTGCTTTATGCCCCTCATTTGCAGATCTATAGTCAAAATGCATGAAGAAGCCAGAACCTATTAAAAGGACAAAAGCAGAATTGAGAGAAAACTAGTACTAGTTATAGGAATGGTATTTCCTGAGCATAATAGTTGCCACTGTAGTTAGGGCACTGTATTGGGCATTTAAATATGCATTTAGGGGCAGGCAGTTTGCACAATAAATATTAGGTCATCTTTTTCTTACTAAGATGTTAGTTATCAAAAACTGAAAAGCATTATGTGTTCTAGTCTCTCTCTCTTTCTTTCCCTGCCTTTCTCCCTCCATACCCCCTTCTTCCCCTGCCTTTCTTCCTTCCCCTCCTTTCCTCCTCTCTTCTTCCTGGTCTGTGTGGAACCACTATTCATTGTCCAAATCTGCACAAAATCTTTTTTATCAACTATATTTGACATATAACATTATTTAAATTTAAGGTAGACAACTTGCTTATTTGATACATTAATATATTGCAGGGGCACATGACTGCCCCTGTAATAATAATTACCATGTCTATCACATTATGTAGTTATCTGTAATTATCATTTCATTTTAGTGGTTGGAATAATATCTAGTCTCTTAGCAAGTTTGATGATTATGTTACAATATTGAGGTCCATACTCAACTCTACTGTGTGTTAGTTCTCTAGTGGTCCTACTCTTTGCAAGTTAGTACCCTTAAACATCATCTGTCTCATCCAGACTCCCCAAAAAGGCAGAAAGAAAATGAAGAGCACCTTTTTGTTATTTGAGACCCCAACCCTGCCTACATCATCTATCTATCATACAAGGGCCCAAAATTCTGAAATCGAGTTTTACATATTTCCTGCTAGAATGAGCAAATAAATAAAAATTTAATATTTGTAACCAAATAAAAAAACTATATATTTCAAAATAAAGCTACTCATCTGAATGGGATGAAGTAAACTGTATTTCTACCTTAATTTAAAGTATTTTTGCTACAGGAGTATGTAATGTTGAATATAACCAGCTGAAATTCTGACATGGATTCATTCACAGCTTAATGCTGTTCATTACAAAGTCTGTCATATCCTGCAAACTTCAAGAGAACAACCCCACTACTCCAGAGATAAGAGTATTGTCAGGAGGCACAGCCCTCTCCTGCTGTGGGCTTCACAAAATCCAGATCTCATAGGTAGAAAAGCATAAAAAAGTCAAAAAGCAAAGAAATAAATTATGTCCTTATAAGGCAAAAAACTGACTCCTTAGTAGCAACCTAGTGGATTATCATGAATAATTCTGATAGAAATTAGAGGTAAAATCCTGGTCTTTTATAACAAAGGAAATACCTAGAGCCAACAATTATAAGATCAAGATCTGTCTTGGTCCTGTTACCTTTGCACTTGCCCATGGAGGAGTGGTCAGTATTGGGGCCCCCAGTTGCCTGTTGAACCCTCTGCCAGTCAGCGTTATCACCTGAACTTTGGATCATACCACACACATTTTCCAGTTCAAAATCACATGAGTCCATAAAGCTCAAGGAGGATGCTATAGAAGGGGGAAAAAAGTATTGACATTGGTGATATGTACATGATAATCTAAGTAATAAAAAATAAATTTATCTCAGAAGCACCAGGAATGCTAGAATACATTAGAAGGAACACTTAGCTGATTCTGCATGAAGATGGATTAAAGACCTCTTGCTATCAGCAGAACTAAGAAATAATCAACTCTAAATTGGAGAAAACTATATCTATACTCATCTAGTTTTTCAGATTATGAAGCCACAACCCATATTATTTGATCTCATTTATATTATAACTCCATAGTTCATTTTGCCTAAAGAGTTTTGAATATAAGTTGGTCCACATGTTGATTAGTGGCAGCTTCAAAAACCTTATAGAATCTGATTAATTTTCACTTCTAAAGACCAGAACTTGAGAGAAATGCTGCTTTCCAAGCTGTAGAAAGGGCTCCAGGTGCTATTCTGCTTTTTTCCTAAATTTCAAAGTACTATAATTTCAGAAGACTTGGCAGACTGCTCAGCAAAATAGCACAGAGCATAGTTTTTCCGACAGCACAGAGACACAGAATTTGTTTCAAAGAACCTGTCCATACAGCAGTTATACAGTCGATTCAACTTCAAGAGATCATTTTCACTGAAATCCATCCTTTGGCCAATTACATCCATGAAGTCATTGATTCTTGTTACAATTGTAGGTTCTGTTCCATTTCTGAATGCAGTTTTACTGTAATGCATTACTGACGTGTAGTCATAGGGAGTATTCAGGGTGTTTGACCTTTGGTCATCATAGGTATTAAAATTGCTCTCTTTGCCTAAATGAGAAATAAAAAAATCTTCAATTACTTAATGTTTACAAAATATAGCTCATCTTATTCAAAATATTGTTAACTTGGAAAAGGAGACTGTAATAAACAGTTACAATGTGATAAACAGTTTAATAAACAGTGTAACCTTTGCTACATCTTATCGACAGTATTTCAAGAGTGTTTTATATACTCCTACTTTAGCATATAACAATCAAGCTTAGAGCTATGATATCAGCTGTCGTGCAGAACATATCTAAGCCCAAAGTCAGACATTAGCATTTGGCCTAAGGTTCTAAGAATTGCTAGTGGAAGGGGGGAATTCTTCTCAGGAAAGCATTGTTGAAACACACAGGGTGACTGGCAGTCAATAACGGGGACCTTGATAGCAGGTGGAGAAGCAGTCAGATGACTTTGGAAAGTGTGGTGGGATGGTTCCTGGGAATGAGTCATAAGTTAGATTGGGGTAATTAGAAAGCTTAGCCTGGGATTTCAAGGTTACCGAAATATGTGTAAATGTATTTTAAATCATACACCTACAGAAGCTAACTGGACGATTAGTGTCATGCTAATGGGTAACTGATTACAACTTGAAATTGGATCATTTTGTGTATACAATAAGACGGATCTGATCTCAAAAACACATAGCTGTGTTATCAAATCTACTCAGAAATTTTTACTAAAAAGAAAAGACTTTAGGAATCCTGAAAGGTGAGGTCATGGATTAAAGTTAAACACTTCTCTTACTCAAAAAAGCTTTCAGTCTGCTGCTTTGCTTTAATCCAGTTGAGATTCCCCAGGAGTGGTGGTGAAAAGGCAAAAGCAAGTTGTGATGTTAAGATTATGATATCAGGGACTTCAGCATGGAGCAGTCTTTTCACAGTGCTTCAGGTGACAGCAATGCCAGCCCTTCCTCTATACCTTACAGGACAGGATAGGTGGGAGAGCTACGTATCACTGTGGGGAAAATGTGGAAAATGAACTCTAGTCTTACATGACTATTAAGACCTATCTGGTTGGAAATATAAAGTCATAAAAAAAGTTTGAGCTGTTTGACTCCTGCATGAGTTCCAATATAAGTTCCATGGAACAAAATCCCAAATACTCCAAGAAAAAAAAAGATAAATACCATGATTGGTTTTAGTAAATGCACTTCTTTTTTGGAGATTTAAAATTCACATTTGTCTAAAAAGACTGTGAACAATATAGCAGTGTCAACAACTAGCTGGCTAATTTCTCTTAACCTAGAATTTCCCAAACTGATTTGACAAGGATCCCTTTCCAAGGAATCCATTATTTTGGGACTGCACCCCATAAAACATGCTTTGGGAAACACCAGACTTGTTTCTAAGATCATATCAAGCTCAAAAATATGAGGGTTCAAGGGTACTAGAGCCCCAGCAACCAGCCAATATTTCAACTCATACCATTTAGAACTAAATGACACAAAACATCAAAATATCAGAGGTTTTCCATTTATTGACAGTTGGCACAGATGGTAGGAGAGGGCACAAGCTTAGAAATTCAGTCTTTAACAAAATTTTAATGAAAGAAAGACAGAAAGGAAGGGAGAGGAGCAGGGAGGGAGGGAGAGACATGTACCTGACTGAATTCTGTCCCACATGATCTGGACGTAGTCATCCCGATCTGAACGTGACTGCTCATGCCAGAACCCCAGAGCGTGAAGGAACTCATGTTGAATCGTTGCTATTCTGTCACAGTTTGCCCCAATGGAGAGTTCTTGCCTCCCAACACGCCTATTTCCTATTGAAGACCAGCAGCTTACAGGAGAGTTTACAGGAGAAGAGGGAGAAGGTGTGATAATGATGCAGATTGAGATCTCAAGGCAAAATCTCCAATGCCCAATTGACCGAGATCAGCCCACTCCACCTGTATTTCTCTGTTCTTATGTCTGAACTCCATATATTTCTCCATGACCCTGGACAGGTATGAAAAGACCAGATGATCTTTGGAGAACTTGTCCTCACAACAAATATTACAAAGAGCAAGTGACCCCCAGGAGTCCTTCACCTGAATTTTCTGGGAAACTTCAGAGTGTTTCAGATTCTCCTTTTGTGGATGGACATCAATAAAGGTTTGATAGGTATAGCAACCAATCAGAACTGCTGAGTTTCAGAGAAATAACACTGTCACCTTCATAACTCAAGTAGTAAGAGTTAGTAGATTAAAATAAATTTAAATGCATACATGTGTTCTATGTAAACTATAAACAGCTGAAGTTCACAAAGTAGTAGGATGGGTGACATGCAATCCCACCACCTTGTCTTAATATCAGTAGTTTGCTTGCATGCATAAAAGTGTTATTTTTATGGCTAGAGAAACTAGATCATCTTTTACTCTCTAGCAAACAGCAAAGGAAACCCCCAATCCACCCTCAAGGTCAGAGCCTAGGGGCAATTGCTATGATATAATACCTCAACCACATCTGTTGTCATTAGAATTCCTAGAAGACAAATTTTTCCACTTACCCACTTCCCTTGAAAACTGATATATAATTATCTTCTCCAGTCCAAGGCTTGAAGTCAATGCATGTTTTTAGGCGATAGCGTTCAAATGCATTGAGGATAACTCCCTTAGCATTCATTTCTGAAGGAAAGAAACAAACAAAAGGGAAATTATTAAAATTATCACCATTGACCAAGTCACCATGGAAACAGGCCATGCACTTTATTGTTTATCATGAATTAGTCCCTTCATGAATGTTTAATGTTTTGTTTTTATAAAATTTAGTATTCCATACCAATTATGAAACATTTAACATGTGTGAGAGTATTGTAAAAGGCACAGCCCTCTACCAAGATAAGACCTTCTTTTACGCTGTACCTTTATTTACCAAGGACCTTAATCATTTTGCATCATAAATTCAAAAAGCACCACCCAATATCAATTATCTAAATCCCTGGCTCCAAAGGATAAGGTCAGTCCTGAATAGGCCTAAGCGTTAAGTAAACAGCTGTTCAGGATTATTTTCCCTTTGTTAACCCTTCAGGTTCCTAGCACCCAGGTCTTCATGTCCATCCCACCCACTTCTTTTATTCTTATCCTTCACTCACATTTCCCAATCCCAAATCTGGTACTCAGGCAAGGAAATGTAGTTATTCACTGGAAGTTGCTTCAAGTGTTATCCCTTTCAGGGGAGTTGCACCTAATAACAGATAACATGGAAGTTTAAGCTAAAGGACTAAAACCCTACTGTTCCTATATTGGCCCACTAGAATTTGAGCAGTAGTGATTTCTGGCTTTCCAGATATGACCTCCAGAAAACTCTTCATAGGGATTTATTTCTGCTACAGGTAAAAGAGGGTTTGCTTAGTGATTTCCTTAGCCTGAGTCATTTGAAGATGGTGTAAATTTCTGAAATGTAAGGAAATACTCTTCTCATGTTGAACAAAGAGATTAAGTCACTGCTACAATATTAAATATTATCTAAACAAAGAAATCATAAAATGGAAAGAATAACCTAAAAATTTGAGTTTAATTTTATTATAAAAACTATGTAACATAAAACAATGCAAAAATGGTAAGTGAAAGAAGAACAAAAAAATTTAAATGCTGTAGTTAAAACTGTTTAAAAAATGTTTATGATTTTGAATAGTAGGATCTGGGCCATGTTTTTTATTTAATATATTTCATTCATGTATATTTCTAAAATTTATTTTGGAAAATATTTGTTGACACTCCATAATATACCAGATTATGCTAAAGTTCAGTTTTATAAAATGAAATATAACTCCTGTCCTTAAGCCATTACTATGTTGTTTTATAATGTTGTTTAAAGATGGATACTTAAAGCCTGCAAGTTTAGGAATGAGGGGTATGGAATAGTGGTAAAGCACTTTTTTTTTTTAATGTCAACTACTATTCTTTTATTTATTTGTTTATTTGTTTATTTATTTGTAAAGATTTGTTTTTATTTATATAAGCACTGAGTACAGTCAGAAGCGCGGGAGGGTGAGAGAATTCACCAGAGGCAGAGAGGGGAGTAGAGCAGGCAGAAGGACCGAAGTACACTGCTGAGGGGAGCAGTAGGTGGCAGGAGAGGTCTGCGCGCCATGTAGGACCCTCCTCCTTCTCCGGTGGCCGGGGAGCAGTCCGGGGATCGAACCGGCGTTGCAGAGGCTGTGGGCAGCTTCGCACCCAGCGCTCAACCGCTGCGCCACCAGGGAGGCCCTAGAGCATTTGACTGCAAGTTTAGGAATGCTTTGGTTAAAACTCCTGGCAAAATAGAGTAAGAGATAGTCAAATTAAAGCTCACTAATGTTGGTGCCTCCCCGGTGGTGCAACGGTTTCGCGCTGGGTTGCAAAGCTGCCCGCAGCCTCTGCAGCGCGGGTTCGTTCCCCGGCTGCTCCCCGGCCACCACCGGAGGAGGGTCCCACATGGCGCGCAGACCTCTCCTGCCGCCCACTGCTCCCCTCAGCAGTGGACCTCGGTCCTTCTGCCTGCTCTGCTCCCCGTTCTGGCTCTGGTGAATTCTCTCACCCCCCTGTGCTTCTGACTGTACCCGGTGCTTGTATAAATAAATAAATAAATAAATAAATCTAAAAAAAACCAAATGGAATGTTTAAGAAACCTTAAAAAATAAATAAATAAAGCTCACTAATGCTCGATGAAACATTAAGAAAATAATTATTAGGAATTATTATTATGAAAATATTTTTAAAATATATATGAATATATATGCACATACATATATGCATATCATATATATAATTTTAAAACAAAAGTCTTTTAAATTTTTTTATCCAAAGATCAAAAGAAACTGTTTAAATCAGAAGTAGTTGCTAAAAGAGAACAAGCTATCAATTATAAGATGAATAAAGTCTGGGAATCCAATGTAAATATAGTGACTACAGTTAATAACACTGAATAGTTCAATTAAAATTCATTATGAGGGTAGAATTTTAATGTTCTCTTCAAAAGAGAGAGAGCAAGCGAAATAATGTGAAGGGATGGCTCTTAGTTAATCCATGGGAATCCTTTCACAATGTGTGTGTGGGTTTGTGTGTGTGTGTGTATGATGTATATACCTGATATATATCTCATATATATCCAGGGATATACACCTTAAAAATCTTATAATTTCACAGGTAATTCCTTCATAATGCTGAAATTTTTAAAAATGTAATAAAATATTTCAGATTCCCCCCCAATTCCAAGAGCCTTTGTATTTTTTTGTTTTTTGTTTTTTGTTTTGTGGGACCCTCACCAGCAGCCAGGAACGAACGCAGCCCAGCACTCAACTGCTGCAGCACTCACAGCCCAGCACTCAACTGCTGCACCACCAGAGGAGGCCCTCCAAGAGCCTTTTACTATTCATATGACATAATTTCTTTGTAACATCTTATTATGTTTATTACTCTGGTCTTGGCTTTCCTACCCTGCTCTTGGTTTTTTTATCTATGTTTCTGGCCAGACCTCCCTTTTCAGTAACTTCTATCAGATTCTCCTCTCTAACAACTCCAAAAAGCCACTCTCTCTCCCTGGCTGAATTCCATTTTCCACCATATTCTTACTCATTCAGTCTTCCTGGTCATTCAATAAAACCCATGACCCATGAAATACTTACATGCAAGGCACTGTGCAAGATGCCAATCCCTACCCATCACTCAGCCATCTCCTGCTACCTAATAACTCCCAAATATTTCTCTAACTTAAATGAGCAAGCTGTACACCAACACTTTGATATCTTCACCACAGTCAGCCTGATGCACTTCAAATTCTGCATCACAAGAACTAATTTCCACCCCACTTCTCTATTCCAACCTCTTTAAGATATATTCCCTATTGTTAAAGTCACTCTCATACACACATTTGCCTACGACTGAATCCTGGGCCCTATCATCTTTTCACCTAGACCTCTTTCTTGTTAAGCTCATGAAGTCAATCATGAAATCTCACAACTGCCTCCTAACACTTTCATAGATTTATCCATTCTTCTCTATCATCACTGAGAGTCTTGGTGCAGAAACTTTTCAGACCCTCCCTAAATTTCAGCAACCATCTCCTGATTGATCTCCTTACTTTATTTTTGCCTCATTAATGACACATTTTCTACAATGCAACCAGAGTGATAACAAGCTCACTTTTACATGAAAAATTTTGGTGGCTCCATTTTGCATCAGTAAACACACCAAGTTCTTTAATTTGGGAAAAACCCAAGTCCTTCTCTCTCTGGATCCTGCCTAGATATTCAACCTCACTATCTGCCCTCTTCCAATCTAAATTTCAGCTGAGGGATTTTGCCCTTCCCCATAACTTGGCACACAATGATCCAGCTGCCTAGAGCACCCTTCCCTTGCTATCAGAAGCTGCATTAGCCCACATGGTACAGCGGACCAATGTGAATTAGCAAGGGGTATCATTTGGGCAGATGCTGTGAATGCCAGCCTGGCAGATGGATAAATGGCACTTCTTGCAAACAAGTACTGATGAACAGAATGCAAACTTGATTTTAGTCCCATTCATCTCCCTGCCCAGGCACCTAGTCAGGATGGACAACTTGTACAACCTTTTTGGCTGCTTTTTTACAGTACTGCCTACTACCTAACATGTATGGCTTTAGATCCAGGTTGAGTTATGCCCCTCCAATGGACTTCCATAGCTCTTTGCATAATCACTACTCATAAGGTTTCTGTCCTTCTATTATAATATGCTTTTGGTTCATCTGACTCTCCACTGAAATATATGCTCTTTAAGGAAATACTTCCCAAACAGTGGTTCCTAAACTGATATCATTTTCACAAGTCCATCAATAAAATGAGGGCCATGTTCAGAATTTTCCATTACAATTAAATTTCTTCTATAGAAAGGATACTTGTTTTCCCTTTTATACTGTTTTTTCTTTTAAAACTTTGTTCTTTGTTCTTGCAATGGCAAAAAAAATTTCTCTTACAGAAAAGTTGTCCTTAGTGGGCCTCCCCTGGTGGCGCAGCGGTTGAGCGCTGGGCTACGAAGCTGCCCGCAGCCTCTGCAGCGCTGGTTCGATCCCCGGTCGCTGGCGAGGGTCCCACATGGCGTGACAGACCTCTCCTGCCACGCCAGCTGCTCCCCTCAGCAGTGTATTTCATCAGTCTGCCTGTTCTGTTCCCCGCTCTGGCTCTGGTGAATTCTCTCACCCTTCTGCGCTTCTGACTGTACCCAGTGCTTTTATAAATAAATAAAATAAAATAATAAAATCTTAAAAAAAAATAAAAGTTGTCCTTAGTTTTGGATTAGAGTCTTCTGACTTTTAATATTAAAACATTACTTATTTTATGAAAAGAGGATGGTAGTAGATAGTAGATGCTCATTTAAGTTGCTAACTTGACAAAATAAAGTGCTGGTGAACCAATGCCAGAACCGAACATGTTGTTGGTTGGTTGTTTTATGCTTTTCACTCAGGTATTCTAAACATGTGGGAAACTGCTGCTTTAAAATAAAGACCAGCTCTCTGATCTTTCTCTTCCAAGTATCTAATACAGGGTAGACTTTGCATAAGTGTTGGTTAAATTAATCCCTTTATTGGTTAAAAAAAACTCAGCAAATATTTCAGAGAAAATCAATTAGGGTCTTTTCATTGTTCATTGCTTATTTTTTAAAGTACATATGCACATCCATACAAAGCAGCAAACAAACAAAAACCCTTAAAAACCATCATAGCCTCCCCTTTGAAATACTGAACCACATTATGTATGGAGTCTCCAAGATATGTATACTGACCCAAGCTATCTTCTAGAACATATGGAATGGTATGGGGCCATCTATAGTTTTCTCCAATGATGGAATTTCTATCTTGTGCCTGTCAAAAATAAATGTGAAAGGGGTAATTGAATGAAGGCAAAAACTTATGAAATAATCAATAGTTAATCTAGAAACAAGTGACGTTTGAAGCTCTCTTAACCCATCTTAACAAATTGCATGTGTGTGCACATGTATATATGCATCTATAGTGCCCCTACTTTTATCATTTTATAATAAAATGATAAAAAGAGATCTAGAAAGAGATCACCAGTTTTTATCATTAATTTTGTTGATAAAGATGAAGACAGAATCATGCAAAACCACATAAAGAATGACTGCTGGAAAACCTAAACTACAAATATTGTTAGATATACAGACTAGCATCTTATACTAGAGATTAAAAATATACAAGAAGTGAGTGAAAATTCAATAACCTTAATCTCATAATATCAGAAAAATTCTACATCAAGTAAATAAAAGTTTTTAAACACTTTTAAAGGATAAGAACTTTTTATAGTAGAAAACAAATAATATATTCATTCAATCAACAGAATGAACACTTTCAGTGACTAGGGGTACATTGATAATAAAATTGCAAAGGTCTTTATCTTCATGGAACTAATACCTAGTGGAGAGGACAGACATCATATAAGAAAACAAGTAAGGGACCTCCCTGGTGGCGCAAGGGGTTAAGCACCCCACTATGAAGCAACCCAAGGCCTCTGCAGCATGAATTCGATCCCCAGGCAGCCAGGGAGCTACCCACATGGTGCAGCAGACCTCTCCTGACTCTCCTGCTCAGCAGTATACTTCAGTCAGTCTGCCTGTTTTGCTCCCTGCTCTGTCTCTGGTGAGTCCTCTCACCCGCCACATCTCTGGCCTATACCCCAGCTCTTGTATGCATAAAGAAATAGATCTTTGGAAAAAAGAAAAAGAAAACAAGTAAGTTTAAACAGGATAAATTTAATTGTGGAGGAAATGAAAGGGAGAAATGTAAACAAGAGCAAAGGAATGAGAGAGAACCTTAGTTCAGGGACTCTTGGAAAGGATGACATTAAGGATGAAATGGGAACAAGAAAAGTCAATATCAAAAGGATACTGAGAAAATTATTTCAGACAGAAAAAATGTAGTTACTTTGGTTCCAAGGTCGGAATAAGCTTGGTATGTTTTGAGGACAATAGACTAATGAGTTAGGAGAGAAAAGAGATGAGAATGGGAGACAAAGAGGAGAGGAGGGGAATGTTAGGAAAGAGAGAAATGGGGAGAGGATTTGGGCCCTGAGAGATAGTTGGATTTAAAAAGCCCACATTGAGATACCACCTTACACCAGTAAGAATGGCACATATCAAAAAAAATGAGCAACAACAAATTTTGGTGAGTATGTGGTGAAAAAGGAACTCTCCTACATTGCTGGTAGGAGTGCAAACTGGTCCAACCTCTATGGAAAGCTGTCTGGAGGTTCCTCTGTCTACTAAAAATGGAGCTACCGTGTGACCCGGCAATTCCACTCTTAGGGATCTACCCAAAGGACACAAAAACACTGATTCAGAAGAACACCTGTATCCCTATGCTTAGTGCAGGACTATTTATAATAGGTAAAACCTGGAAACAACCCAAATGCCCAAAAATAGATAACTGGATCAAGGAGATGTGGTACATATACACAATGGAATATTATTCAGCAATCAAAAAGGATAAGCTCATGCCATTTGCAGCAATGTGGATGGAACTGGAAGGAATTATGCTCAGTGAAACAAGTCAGAAGGAAAAAGAAAAATATCAGATGGTTTCACTTATAGGAGGAATATAGGGGAACCAAATAAGACATGGGGGGGAAATAATAACAATATAAAACACAACAAAACAAAACAAACAGACAATTGTAAACCAGAGATATCCTGCAGGGGAGGAGGTGGGAGAGGGATCAGAGGGAGGGAGGTAGGAGAACAGGGAACTGAGGTGATGGTGCACAGGTGCATTGATGAAGGAAACTCTATGGGAACTATACCTGAGGTGGGGGGAAGCAAATGTTGTTTGAAAATGAACAGTGATGTAAAATATATATAAATAAAATAATAAAATAAGAAGCCCATGCTAACCAGTCATTTCCAGATACTCTACTTTAGCTTACAGTAGTTAATAGAAGATTCTTCCTTGTACTATTTCAACTCACCTCATCAAGTTTGATGTCTCCCTCAAAAAGATTCAGTCCCAAATCTAAGAGGGAAGATAAAAAATTCATGTGAACAATTTGGATTCAACCCCCCGCTACCCACTAAATAAAGGAGACCAACAAAAAATCCACAAACCTTCATTGATATCAAATATGTCCTGATCAATTCCACCATCCACATCTTTGAATAAAATAACAAAGAAAAACCCATTGAACATTATGTTTACAAATGAAAATCTTTATTAACTGCAGAATTAGAAGTTAGGTTCTTTTAACTCAGATAAGTAATTTATAGGTTCTGATTCAATATATGCAAATTGATTAAGAATCTCTCGTAAGCCATGTTTGGAGCTATAGGAACTCTTGCCCGTATATTCTTAACCTATCATATCCCTTGAATGCCAAATGACTTCAAACATAAGGAATTGGTTACTCTGTATAACATTAAGCTAAATTTGGAAGCTAAACTAGATGAATGTATTAAACAGGAAGCAAGAGTCAAAATTTGGTCAAACCAGCCCACGCTACCCATATATCAACATCCTCAAGCAAAATCCTAATGTAAATTTGAATTAGCCTTTTAAATTGCAAAAGGGTGAGTAATATGGCCAAACCTCTAAGCTTACAACAGAGTAGGATAGAATCTCAGGTTTATGGGATTCCATACGAAATAGCAAAAACAATCACAGCAAGCATTTATGGGATCTGTATATGTCAGTTACTGTGTTCAGCTTTTCCAGCATCTACTCTTCTGCTTGGTATGTGAGCAGGAACAATAAAATGTTCCTCAATAAATCGATCAGTGTTCGATCAAAGTTCAACGCAATTATGCAATTATGTTTAAGCAATTATACATTGTGTTCAGAAATAAATGTGTCATAACTTCTTGCCTTGCTGTTCTGTTCACAGTTATTAACTACCTGTTCTTTTGCTCTATGTTGCTGTCTTTTAAAATTATTATTATTATTATAGCAAAATTCAAAATAGACTCACCAAAGTTTTCTGTAGTTGACTGGGAAACAAACATAAAAATATATATATTAGTATGCCGCCCATAACATAAATTGGTGTTCTTGGTCCCAATTTTTATCTAGCCACTTTTGGGTTGTTGTAGTTAATCATTAATATCATGAATTACACTCTCACATATATTCAAGACAGCTATATTGGAGTCTAAGAAAACTTTTTGACCAAAGGGTCTTCTCATTTCACAGGAAAAACTGAAACTATCTGTTACTTATTTTCAGACTGAAAATAAGTCAAAACATAAGACTCAAATAAGCATTCATTTTAAGCATGATTTCGTAAAGGATTCATGGAGCAATGTTTGAAAGACCTTATAATCTATTCCCAAAGCTGAAATAGTATTGAAATTTATGACACTCTTTAAAAAGGAATTTATTCAAGATTTCATTAATTGTGGTTTACTTCCAGATTTCTTTCAAGAGTCTCCCTTCAAAGACAGTACCGAATGTTTAAGAAAAAAAGTCAGTGTATATACTGTGCAATTAAAAAAAAAAACTGCTGAAAATAGATTGTCCACTGTAACTAAATGAATCCTAGACTATATGCCCATTGGAAAAAAATTAAGTGAAGTAGTATAGTAAAATTTAGACTGGTAAACAGTAGAATTAGTTTATATTCCTGGCAAGTCAGTTCACCTTCCTAACACTCACATTAAATATGGCCAGTGCTGCTTTGCATGGGTAGTGTGAGGGATCTATGATATCAAGTAAAAGAAACACTTTATAGGGCCTCCCCTGGTGGTGCGGCGGTTGAGCACTGGGCTGGGAAACTTCTTGCAGCCTCTGCAGCGCCGGCTCAATCCCTGCCCACGGGGCGAGGGTCCCACATGGCGCGCAGACCTCTCCTGCCGTCCGCTGCTCCCCTCAGCAGTGTATTTCTCAGTCTGCCTGTTCTGTTCTCCGCTCTAGCTCTGGTGAATTCTTTCACCCTCCCACGCTTCTGACTGTACACAGTGCTTGTATAAATAAATAAATAAATCTTAAAAAAAAAACCACTTTGTAAACTATTTCAAAATGTTATGCCATTATAAGGTGTAATTTTATTTAAATGCTGCTTGCATAGCTAAATACTAGGATTATTTGGAGTGTTTGGCAAGAAGAGGAAATGAACTGGCTGGATGGTTATCATTCTTTCTTGATATTATCAATTGCTTTGATTATCTCACACTTTACTAAAAATTATCAAGTGTTTGCTCAGAATTGCTGTAATGTGTCTTAAATGCTATCTTTTGTTTTCAGTGCTACAGTTAGTGCACAGACTAGTAACTCAATATTATTATTACTGATTTTTAAATCGCCTCTCAAGATATTCCTCTATGCATTTGAAATTTCATTGAGGACCTTGGGTTAGTTTTTGCAGCAACCTCCTGTCACTATAGAAGGAGTAATCTAAACTAATAAAGAAGCAGAAGAGAAATTCCATGCTACAAAACTTTATATGTATTTGCTTTGCCTGTGACATTCATCATGTACTTCATTCTTGTCTCAAGTTACTGTAACAGCAAACTGCTTTATATTTGGCAGTGGAAATGGAAAGTTTTTCAAGTTTCACATTTTCCATTTTATCAAAAGAATACCTGTTGCACAACAATGAAACAAAAAGAAAAACACAACTTCATATCAATGTCTCTAATCCCTCTAATGCAACTTCTTATACCCTATTTTCTCTCTGCCCCCTGCTTGGCAAAAAAGAAACACTCATTTCATTAACACTCTGAAATTTCTAAGCAGCTAAAAAAGAACAAACAAGGTGTTCTTTAGCAATCAGTATTAACTGCCCCCAATTTTTCTAATCGTTTTCTATATATTGTTTCCTTACCAAGCCAGAAACCACAAGGAAAACGGCAAAGAACAGAAACCAAGGCAGGCACCGTGGATCCATGCTGTCGCGTCCGGTTGAAAGTTGTGAACTATGAAATTCAGAGCAGCACTTTTTAAAAGGCAAACATCATAATTTATGGCCTTCGATCTTGATTATCCATCTAACAGGTTAGCTTGCAGTAGCAGTAATACCTCTAAATCAAGGAGTCAAAGTTCAGTATCCACAAGGCAGCACACCAGAGCTATTGGTTGTTTTTTTGTGTGGCAACATTCATCACTAAAATTCCTAACTGAGACCAGTTAATGAAATAAGTTCTTTAATAGAGACATACTCACTCCCAACAATCTTAAATGCTACTTGAACAAAAGATAAAATAAAGTTAATTTAATTTTTTTTAATACTTTCCTGCAGAGTTTTTCTTTTCTCTTGTGATCCCTCTAATGTGTAAATTTTTTTAAAGATTTTTTTAATTTATTCATACAAGAACTGGAGTGCGGGGGTGGGGGTTGAGAGGATTCACCAGAGACAGAGTGGAGAGCAGAACTGGGGGATCTACTGAAATATGCTGCTGAGGGGAACAGGGGGCAGGACAGGAGATGTCTGCTGTGCTATGTGGGTTGGCTCCCTGGTTAGGAATTGAACTCATGTTGCAGTGGCTGGCAATAGCTTGATATCACTGAGAACTTAAACCCCTGTGCCCTCAGGGAGGCCCTATAAAGTTAATTTTAATCTTGTTCTTTCAAATAGCAAACATTTGTGAAGCTCGGCTTTTTGTTGGTCACTCATTTAATAAAAATTTATTGAATAACAAAGATCCATTAACAAGTTAGAAAAATGGCATATTTGCTGTCCAGATATAAAATAGCAGAATAGCAACATGTGTCACTCTTGAAAACTCCCACCAGGCCAGCTCATGTGAAAGTTAGGGTTAAAGGTTAAGAATCGTCATAGCCCCTACATGCAAAACAATGAAACTAGATTGCTACCTCATACCATACACAAAACCAACTCAAAATGGATAAAGGATTTGAATGTAAGACCTGAAACCATGAAATACACAGAGGAAAACACAGGCAAAATACTCCATGACATATATCTCAGAAATATCTTTGAGGATCATACTCAGAAGCAGAGAAAGAGAAGGAAAAGATAAACAGCTGGGACTACATCAAACTAAAAAGCTTTTCTACAGCAAAAGAGACAATCAAAATGAAGAGAAACCCCACAGACTGGAGAAAATATTTACACTCCATATAACTGATAAGAGACTGATATCAAAGATCTGGGAACTCCCTGGCGGTGCAGGGGTTAAAGAAAGAGCACTATCAAGCTATGGCCAGCCATTGTAACATGAGTTCGATCCCCCACCAGGGAGTTAACCCACATGGTGCAGCAGACTTCTGTCTTACCCACTGCTCCCCTCAGCAGTGTATTTCAGTAGATTTCCCTGTTCTGCTCCCCACACTGTCTTTGGTGAATCTTCTCACTTCCCAAACCTCTGGCCTACACCCCAGTTCTTGTGTGCATAAATAAATAAATCTCTAAAAAAAAAAAAAACAAGAAGAAGAACAAGGATATGCAAAGAGTTTACACAACTCAACAAAAATAAAGCAAACAACCCAGTCAAATATTTAGCAAAAGAACGAAAAAGACACTTCATCAAAGAGGAAATGCAAATGGTCAACATGAAAAAATGCTCTACCTCATTTATAATCAGGGAAATGAAAATCAAAACCGTAATGAAATACCACCTCACACTGATGAGAATGGCCCATATTAAAAAACTGGCAACAACAAAGCTGGGGAGGATGTGGAGAAAAAGGAATTCTTTCACATTGCAGGTGGAAATACAAACTGGTCCAACCACTATGGAAAGCTGTGTGGAGGGTCTTCAAATTACTCAAAATGGATCTGCCATATGACCCAGCGATTCCACTACTAGGACTCTACCCAAAGAACACAAAAACATTAATTCAAAAGAAACCTGCACTCCAATGTTCATTGCAGCACTATTTACAATAGCCAAGATATGGAAACAACCTAAATGGCCCAAAATAGATGAATAGTTTCGAGAAGATGTGGTATATATACACAATGGAATATTACTCAGCAATCAGAAAAGATAAACTCATGCCATTTGTACCAATATGGATGGATCTGGGATGGAGTATTCTCAATGAAATAAATCAGAAGGAAAAAGAAAAATATTGGATAGTTTCACTTATAGGAGGAACATAGGGAAACTGAACAAAGTATCAGAAAAAAAAAGATAAAATTAGCTGGCAAATTATAGGTCTGAGACATGAAGTAGGTGAGGGGGAGAGAGAGGATCAAAACAGGGGAGGGAAGCACAAAAGGGACTATGATGAGAGTTCACGGGTGCCGTGGTGGTGGGAGAACTACGGGGACTACACTTGAGGGGAGAATTCAAATATTATGCAAAAATGAACAATAATAAAAAAATACAAAGTTTGGGGCCTCCTCCGTGGCGCAGTGTGTTGAGTGCAGCGCTGTGAAGCTATTCACATCCTCTGCAGTGTGGGTTCAATTCCTGGCCGGCCGGGGAGATTCCCACATGGTGCGGCAGACCTCTCCTCTTTCACCCACTGTTTCCCTCTCCAGTGTTTTCGGTCAGTCTGACTGTTCTGTTCCCTGCTCTGTCTCTGGTGAATTCTCTCACCCTCCTGTGCCTCTGGCCTGTACCCCCATTCTTGTATAAATAAATATTTTTTAAAAATAAAATAAAAGTTTAATCAATTTTTTTAATTAAAAAAAAAAAGAATGGTTATATGTTTCCTTATAAACTAATGTTCCCAATCCATCTCTCAAGTCTATCTCACCTTTCTTGGGATAATATCTCTTTATTTTTTTAATTTTTAAATATGATTTTGGGGTCACATTTTCACTCCCTGTATGTGAATATGTTCTATTCACCCTGCACCAAACCACCCATGCCAATGCCCTAATTCCTTCCCTTTCTTATCTCCTCCCTCCCCTTGTTTCCTCTGGCATCCTTTAATTTTTTTTCTGAAGAAATCCCCAAGATTTGTTTTTGCTGTATTTTGCCAACATATTTTTTTGTCATTTATATTTTCACAGATAAGTGAAAAAAAAAATCTATCTTTATCTGTCTTTCAATTTCTTATTTCTCTTAGCATCATCACCTTGAGATCCATCCATTTCATCCCCCAAAGGCATTATTTCACCTTTTTAAATAGCTATATAGTATTCTATTGAGTATATAATCCACAGGGTAATGTCTCTTTAGGGAGAAGTATTTCCTAACTCAGTTCGGTAATTTTACTCTCAACTTAATTGTGATGCAGTATAATAATTTTTAAATACTAATTTTTTCCCTCAACCTCTTCTTCCCCATCAAGATTTGTCATGGCCCCCATTCTATGTTAGTAGAAAGAATTATGAAAAAACTTCTGTCAGCTTTAATTTCTCCCAAAGGACAAGGCACGAGATTTTTGGAATGAAAAAGCAAGTCATTTCCACCCTCTGAGGACAGGATGTGAGCTATAAGGAAAAGTGAAAAGTGATAGGTATGATCAATTTTTCACTTGTTCCTTAGTATCCCCCAGGAAGTTTGTGGGATCTTAAACCAAATGGGCTAGAGTTACAAAGAAACAACACTGCAGAAAGAGCATGTCTTGGAGGAAAATGAGTAACTTCTGTTAGTGAGAATGGCACAGAATTATTAGAGAAAAACTCCATGTTTGAAGGGTCATCCGGATAAGAATAAGAATGTCTCCACAGCAGCATGCATAGAATGACAACCAAGCATGGAAGAATTAATGTTTCAGAGGATGCCTGTTAGATTAGATGACATTGGGGATCAAATGGGATCCTCCATGGGCTGGTAACCTCAGGCAGAAACCTAAGGATAAAAGTTGGAAATCTTGAATTGGTGACAATTAAATTTCCCCCACCAATGCAGATGGGAACCCCATATAATAAATATGGTTGCTGAAAAATTAAGGATTTTTATGCACTTCTGCTTTTGTGATCTGAGCTATGTAACTGAGACACTCAATTACACTCTCTATATATGTTGAGATAGGCAGCTCCCATTCAGTTAGGAACTGGAAACAGGTAAGAAGAAAGAGTTCCTAAAACTGCTAGTCTTTGAACCCTAAATCAGCATATGAACAGCTTCTCATCACAAATCCCATTAATAGTCATCAACACAAGACTGAATCCCAACTCCAAAGGTGTGTTTGACTACAATTAATGCTTATCTTTTACATTTAATCATGTCAATGAAGCTCTTGAACACAGAAGATACATTTGGTTGGTCTAACTTACCGCCAGCTCCCATCACTTGTACACTGCCCATGGAAAGCATTTTCAAGCCTCATCCTGGCATCGAGAGTATTATGTCAGAAAATGTCTTTCCCCTGGTTGCTGGTCTTCATTTGGTCTCCAAATCTTCCAGAAAATATCTTGACAGGAATCCCAGTGCTTGAGATTCTAGGCTTCATTGTTGTTCTGCGATCTCCTAAGAATGATTAGGGAGGCATATTTCTCTTAGGAATGTTGTTCTTAAGATCTCCATAGAATCTGAGTGCATTCTAGACCTAAGGGTCTAGATCATGAGTGTAAAAACCTTTCTAACAGAAAATAGTACAGAGATTTCAATATACAATCCAAAAGACTTCTTATTTTTCCTCTCCTAATGCTCATTACCTTCACCTGATTCTCATTTCAAAGTTTTTCTAAGTTATTTACTGAGTATACTAATATTAACTCTGGAGACCCTGAAGAAAACTGATGTTACAACTTAAGTCCAAAGGCAATCTGCTGGCAGAATTTTATCTTCTTCTGGGACCTCTAGTTTTTTTCTATTAAGTCTTAAAACTGATTAGGTTAGACCCACCCACATTAGGTAGGTTGGCTAAAATGCTTTACTCAAAGTCTACTAATTTATTGTATTTTTAAAGATTTATTTTTATTTATGGATACAAGAACTGGGGTACAGGCCAGAGGTTGGGTGGTGACAGGATTCACCAGAGACAGAGTGAGGAAGAGAACAGGCAGATTGACTGAAATACACTGCTGAGGGGAGCAGTGGGCGAGTCAGGAGAGGTCTGCTGCACCATGGGGTAGCTCCCTGGCTGGGGATCAAACTCATGCTGCAGTTGCTGCGGATAGCTTCATAATGCTGCATCTTAACCCCTTGCATCGCCAGGGAATCCAAGTCTACTAATTTAAAGGGTATTCTTATCTAAAAAATATCTTCACCCTGACATTTAGGCTGGTGCTGGGCCAAGTACCTAGATACAGTGGTCTAACCAAATTAATACATAATATTTGCAATCACTGCTTCTGGTTTGTTTTTTTTTTTTAATTTTCAAACTCTTCATTTTCACATGTTCATGGGCTACTGATCACACTTCAGGCAATTATTGTCACCATATAGTACCACTGGTTTGACTGTCAGTCATACCCATGGCTGAAGACAAAAATACTATTTGTCATAGTTCATGATGAGCATGAACAGCAATATAGTCACACCTTTGACGTTAAGAAAATATTAATGGACCAGAAATACTCTTTCAGATTTCAGGTTTCTGGCTGAGGCAGTGAGAAAAATTCTATTTCTACATAAGATGGTCCTACTTCAAATCCATGGGCTGTATGCTAGGAGTTCTTATGCTAGGAGCCCACAAAATGGGGGAAAAAAATCTGCAGCTTTTTCCCACCAGAACCAAGGATCAGCAAAGGATCACCAGGTAGCTCATAAAATCTGGCAATCCTGGGTTTCCCTGGTGGAGCAGGGGTTAAAAGACAGTGCTATCAAGCTATTGCCAGCCACTGCAGCACGAGTTCGATCCCCCCACCTGCCAGGAACAACCCACATGGTGCAGCAGACCTCTCCTGCCTCGCCCACTGCTCCCCTCAGCAGTGTATCTCAGTAGATCCACCTGTTCTGCTCCCCACTCTCTTTGGTGAATCCTCTCACCCACCCACCCCACACCTCTGGCTTACACCCCAGTTCTTGTACGCATAAATAAATAAATCTTTAAAAAAAAAACCTGGCAACCCTAATCTAGTTCAGCTGACCTGGTGCCATTAATAATCCACCCCAGGACCTCTCTGGTGGCACAGGCAGTTGAGCTCTGCACTGTGAAGCTGTCCACAGCCTCTGCAGTGCAGGTTTGACCCTGGCTGGCCAAGGAGAAACCCACATGGTGCAGTAGACCTCGCCTGTCTTGCCCGCTGCTCCCCTCAGCAGTATATTTCGTCATTCTGCCTGTCCTGCTCCCTTCTCTGTCCCTGGTGAATCCTCTCACCCTCCTGTGCTAACTAGGTAAGGAATTAGTCCAAGTGAAATTAACTTTCCTCCCTATCACAAGTCAGATTTCGCACTTTCACTAAATACGTTTTCTTTAATACAGGTTATGCCATATGTATTCACTTGTGGTTCTCTTCAAAATAATTCCTAAAACAGTAAGTAGATATAGGGTAAGTGAAAAATTATCAGGCTTTCCACTCTCCCACCATTAGAGTTAATGATGGATCCCTGAAGCCCTACATGCATGTCTAAAGGCCCTACATGCATGTCTGGAGTAGGGTGTGGGCCTGCACAGGTGGGCACACCTGGCCTGAGACTGGGCTTATAAGAGTGGTGTCATGCAGATGCCAGCACAAAGAAAGAGAAAGAGCAACAGAATTAGATGAGAGAAAATCAGCAGAGAATCAGAGACCATGAGAGAATGCCAGAGAACCCAGGAAGAGTGAAGATTCGCTGGGGGCTGGGAGGCCTGCCAGCTTCCTGGCACCCTTGGCCCCCATGACTTGTAAAAAGCTCAATAAAAGCCTGAAAAGCCACGGAGGGCTCCAGGCCTCTCCTTTATCCATCTGCCCGGATCATAGAGATCTTGCTCTGTGCCTTCCTGGCACTACAGTAGAGAAATGTAATATTTCTGTTAGTAAACAAGATTAGAACATAGAAATATCGTTTATTTAATCTAGCATTGGACTTGCCTTAAATTAAAAAAAAACTATTAAAAAAGAAAATAACTCACCTCAAGTTAGAACAGGTCTACAGTGGGCATCCACTGATTCCACAATAAAAAAAAAGTGGCATCTGAGGCTGTTCCCAAATTGATACCTGTGGTTTACTTCCTGGGACTAAGAGATTTCACTCACTCAAACTCAAGTCCAGTTTACTGCCCCTGTAGCTCAGGCCTGCAAAGAAGTAGAAGAAATAAATCACTCCTTGCTATGCTTTGATTGTTTATGGACAGCATTCATCACCATGGATTATAATATTTCTAAATCTTCCTCTCCCAGGTAACTAACTAGAAACTAGTCCCATTGAAATGTATAACCCCAACACTTGGCACTTGATGGCTGCTTGGTAAATATTTGTTGAAAGAAATGGAAATGAACTAATGAAAACCATTGTGTATCTATCAATTGCTTTTTTTGGCATATAGTTCATAGTAATCTCTTAAGAGCCTTTGTATTTCTATGCTATCTGTGGTTATTTCTCCTCTTTCAATTCTCATTCTGCTTATGAATGTTTTCTCTGAATTTTTTTTATAATCTACCTTATGTCCACCAGGCACAGAGCCCAAAAGTCAATAAAATCACATGTTTTGTCCAGTAAAAACTAATATTTCCCATTGGGACAAAATATACAAGCTTTGTTGTGATATGTTATTATGGGTGCACCATCAATGCTTTATGATTTGGGGGTGCCAAATCACACATGTGCAAAATGACAAAGCAGTAGTTCCAGAGGATGGGATGACATGTGCCCAACACTAATATGATTTTAAAAGCCATTCATTAATTTGAACATATTCAGTATAGGCTCGCTCCATACATTTTGAGAAAAAGTCTGCCAAATATCTAATAACCATGGTTTGTCTATGTTTGTAATATGATGTTCCATGAAAAAAGCAGTTCAGTTCATATCATATTTCTAGTAATCCCACAAACGCTTTTGCTCAAACATGTAAACTGAGACCATCAGTGGCTCTTGAGGGCACCATGATCCCTTTATATTCCATTATGCTCACCTTATATATGGTCACCAAAATTCAATCAATCTGGATTACTAGCAGGAGGGACTGACCTAGGTGCTCAAAACTATGCCTCATCCACCTGTTTTCCACCGCACGGGTCTTTTGCTGCTTTCTGTTTTATGATGTGAACTTGCTGAGGAAAGCTGCCCTGACATGTGCTAAAATGACAAAACTTTCTAAAGAATGTATATCGCCACCACCTCAGGGCAACAGCAAAAAGAGAGCCAAAGGCAACGCATGACAAGCAGCTTTCTGAGGGAAGAACTCAGCTGTCTGAGGTGTTACTAAACTGCCTGAGGGTCAATGCATTAAGTATCTGCTCTCGAAGAAGAAAATGTGCTGGACAGAAGCAAAGGAAATTTGAGAGGACAGTCTTCTTCCTTCTGATTTCTGACCTGCAGTTTTTACTTTGCAGTAACATGCACCCTGGGTCACATTAACCACAAAAATTATTGAGAAAGAAAAGATTAAATGTTTGATTCTTTTCATGATTGTCTGCTGTGAACAGAGAAGGTCTCCTGCTCCTTCCTTTACGTGTGCATTCCTCTGCAGAGGAGTGCAACTTTTTTGTCTTAAGACCACTCTTCATTCCAAAAAATGATTGGAGGCCCCCAAAATTTTTGTGTAACCTATTGATATTGACCTTATTAAAAATGAGAAAAAGTTGAAGTATTAATTTTTTGGAGCTTGTATTATTGTGTGCCTCAACTATTCTGTGTTGTTGCCTTGATTATTCTTTGCTTTGACTATTCTGTGCCTCTCAGTGTGCAGAAACAGGGAAAGTTGATAAGGAAACTCTAAGGCCAAAAGTCCTGGTATGAGGATCTACACATGCTGAAAACAGCATGTGCAGAAACAGGGAAAGTTTGAGATAAAAAACCTCCCAGGGCAAAAGCCCTGGTATGAGGATCTAGATATGCTGAAAACAGCATGTGCAGAAACAGCAATAGGTGTTATGGTTAGAGTACCATAAACACTGAGGCTTTCCTTGACTTTCTCCTTATTTCTCAACCTTGGCTGGGGTCAGTTGGTTATGCATCCCCCATACACTTGTGCATTCCCAGTTTGCCTGCTTGTTTTTTTGATCTTTTGTTAAAATATATTTTATATACATTTTTTTAATCCATAATTTTTTTTAAGATTTATTTATTTGTTTATACAAGCACTGGGTACAGTCAGAAGTTGGGAGGGTTAGAGAATTCACCAGAGCCAGAGCGGAGAGCAGAACAGGCAGACAGACGAAGTACACTGCTGAGGGGAGCAGCAGGCGGCAGGAGAGGTCTGTGCGCCATGTGGGACCCTCCTCCAGTGGCCGGGGAGCAGCCGGGGATCGAACCGGCACTGCAGAGGCTGCGGGCAGCTTTGCAACCCAGCGCGCTCAACCACTGAGCCTCCGGGGAGGCCCCTCTTTGATTTTTTTATTTTCTGTCTGATTCTAAATAAAAACGAGACTGCCCTTGGAGTTGGGCTGCACTTTCTTAGTGTAGTCCCACTAGGCTTCTCATTGTTCTGGACATGAACTCTGAGTAATTCTTTTTCTTTTTCTTTTCTTTTTTTTTAGAGCCGGGGTACAAGCCAGAGTCGCAGGAGACTCAGAGAATTCACCAGAGACAGAGCGGGGAGCAGAACAGGCAGACGGACCAAAGACTCTGCTGAGGAGAGCAGCAGGTGAGACCGGAGAGGTCTGCCTCACCATGTGAGAATCGAACTGGTGCTGCAGAGTCTGTGGACAGCTTCACAGCGCTGCGCTCAACCCACTGCGCCACCGGGGAGGCCCTGAGTAATCCATTTTCATCCCGCCACCATAAGCACATCGTAACAAGACATTAGTTCATTAAAAATAAAACTTAAGCCTATTATATGCTAATGTAAATAACATTTCAATGAAAAATAAGTGCATATTCAAAATAAAAAATAAATTGGTGAGAGGAGTGGCATTGTTTTACATTGTCTGGGTTATGGAAAAAAGTGGGATTGTCAGATCTGTGTTTGATTCAGTCCATTATGATATCTTGTTCTAATAAAATGTGTGAAGAAAATTTGGCTCAAACAGAAATGTAGTTGATAAAGGAAGGAGTATTTTAATACCCTTTTTAGATCATTGTGACTGTTTTTCTAAATGTAGCCAAACTCAACAAGCCATAGTTCTTAAACCACGTCAATGAACTTATCATACTCTGTCATATTAAAATCCATTCATCCATCTGGCATTTTGAATAAATCCTTGAACCGTGAATGATTTGTAACATCATTCAGGTGGTCCCAAGGAGAAGGGGAGTTTCCAGGTTCCCTGTACCACCCAAGGAAGGGTGGAGCTGAGCAGGGAGGAGGAGAAGCTAAAGAGGAGACTGGAGAAAGGAGAGAATGGAGAGCCAGAAGGAGACAGGCACGGGGCACATGGGGCAGAGAGACACATGAAGAAGCAGAGCTTGCATCTTGGCTTTGGACTTGTACCAGGGAACATGGAAGGAAACACTTGAAATAGACGTGGGTGAGAGATGTTTGGGCAGGACGACAATGGCAGCATTTATTTTGATTTTGACATTGATTTTGCTCCTTTCACCCCAGACACGCTGGGCCCTTTCTGCCCCTCTCCTGTGGGTCCCCACCAGAAGGTGCCTTGCACTCATGGCAGGCTTTCAGGTCTCAGCAGTCCTGCTTTGGACCAACGCTGTTTGGCCGGGCATCTGCCCACAAGGGGGTGGGGAACTTCGGGTGTTTCCAAAGTTGAAACTATTTTATCTATTTATTTCCCTTTTCTTGTCTTTGTTGCACATCAATTGTATTAAAATTCCTTTCCAATAAAGGTCTCACTAAAATAGTTTTGTCCTGAGGCAGCAGATGGCAGAACCTATATTTATTTCCCTTTTCTTGTCTTTGTTGCACATCAATTGTATTAAAACTCCTTTCCAATAAAGGTCTCACTAAAATAGTTTTGTCCTGAGGCAGCAGATGGCAGAACCTATTTAAAGCAGGAAGGTTTGGGGGTTCTGGGGTGTCCCTCATCCTACGCAGTAACAATTTATGTTTTAGAAAGATATTGATCTTCCAAAATTTAATTATGACCTATCAGGTAAATCTGTTACTGTCACCACCAACTGTATCAGAGGAGTTTATAAGTACTCTTTGGAAAACTGTCAAATCATGGTGGCAGATACAAGTTTTCCAAAATTCTAACCTGTTCTTGAAAGCTCAATTTTTATCATTGGCAATAAGGACTTCCATTTTGACAGGTGCTGCTGGGGGTTCTGTGGGCCCTCAGGTGTTAACATTGCACTTTGTGGCCAGAGGGACTTGGTGTGCACGGAGTCGGTGAGGTATGACACATGCAGGTTGGGGTAAGGATAAAAGGGAAGTAGCAACACTAGTTTCAAGTGTCATAATTTAAGTATCTATCTGGTCACTGTTTTCATGGAGTTGCCTACCCAGAGGAAGGTTCTAAAGGCCCTGCCTGAGCCAAGAACAGAAAAAAACAACACCTCACAGACACAGCTGATTAAGAAATCATTGTTTCTGAAAAAGCAGGAAAGCAGTGTAAGCGGCTGCTGTGTTTTCATCTGAGAGAGGAGAGAAAAAAAAGAAAGAAAACAAGCTCACATGAAAAGAAGAGTCTCATAATTGGCCCTGCAGTCAGTCCTGAATAGTGAAATGATTTGATTTGCTTTAATTCTAGAAATTTCTGAGGATGGCTATATCATTGATGATGCTTTGTACTAATGTAGGTATTTCACAGCATGAGATTATGAACAAGAGAGAATTTGGAATGGGAAATAAATGTATTCAGATCTTTAGAGCATGGTATCATTATTAAATGTATGGTTATTATTTGGATGTATGGATGGATGTATGGATGGATGGATGGATGGATGGATAGATATACAGAAACACGGAAAGTGGGTAGTTTATTATGAAATGTGAACTTTAGAGTTAAATACTAAATTTAGAAGGAAATTGAATGTTTCTAAGTAGGTAACCTAGGAGAGCTGTCAAAGAATGGAGAGCACAATTCAGAGTCACATCTCTGGCCGTGAAGTGGCAATTAGAAATCACTGTGAACATCTCAAACACTGAAGGGCACTTACTTTCTGTCTAACGTGCTACAGCAGGAGAGTTGGCAGTAGTGGTCCTAAGGGCTGAGAGATCAGAGATTCAGCATCAGAACCTCCCAGGTTTAAGAGTCACTTGGTGTCTGTAATTCTCCCACATAATAATTCATGATGATGGGGCATCTCTTACCCTCTTAAGGTCCACAGTACAGGGATAGAATTTAGGGATTCTGTAAAACAGATACAGAAAATAATTACATGTTAATTTTATTACTTTCTGATTAAATTGTAGCATTTCCCTCCATTGTGAAAATAGACAGCCAACCTTAGTAGTACTATCAGTGGCTATGACTGTCACCAATCGAAAAAACAAATATTTTCCTATCCAATTGCAGCAAGTATTGATATTTCAAAATAATATTTATACGCATTGCTGCACAACTAGATCTTGTCATTTAATACATTAAGGAACACATATATTACTATATCATATATTTTTTTTGCTAACTATTGACGTATTTCAATACAATTGGTTACTTCGTAATCCTGGTATTTTATCTTTTGCATTTAATACATTATCCTAAGAAGGAACCATGGAGTTCACCAGACTAACTAAGGGATGCATAGCCCAAAAATGTTAGAGAAAAGAGCTGCCTTTTTCCACTGTACCCCACTTTCCCTAGATGACATTGCACTGAATTTTCAGGAAGGGATAAGCAGTTCTTTTTTTTAAAGATTTATTTATTTATGCATACAAGAACTGAGGTGCAGGCCAGAGGTGTCGGGGGGAATGAGGAGAAGATTCACCAGAAACAGAGTGGGGAGCGGAACAGGCAGATCTACTGAAATACACTGCTGAGGGGAGCAGTGGGCAAGAAAGGAGAGGTCTGCTGCACCATGTGCGTCACCTGACTGGGTATCGAACTCATGCTGCAGTGGCTGTGGATAGCTTCATAGTGCTGAGGCTTAACCCCTTGTGCCACGAGGGAGGCCTGATAAGCCTCCCTGGTGCAAGTTTTTCACATGATAGTTCCAGGAAGCAGCCCAAACCATCATGTCAGAGGACTGCAAGCAAGCAAGCTGTTTTATCCATTAGGCACCATAGAAACCGGGCCCATGGCCAATGAGCTTGAACAATACTGTCTTCAAAAAATGTTTGAGACAGACCGGGGCAGGAGGTAGGGGGGGGTTGGGGGGAAGGAAGTACAATTTTTTGCTTTAAACTAAAAATAAAACTACAGATCTGAAATTAATAAATGTCTAATTAAATGTTCTATCAAATCTCATATGTCAAACTCATCTGCCATTGCATTTAACATTCATAAACATTTTTGCAATTGAAAAAAATCTATAGTAGATCAGATTTTCTCACTTTGCAAAATGAAGAAAAGCAATAAAAAATTCAAAGTTACAGCCAAATATTTTCAAAAGCAGAATTACAAAAATATAACCAGGATATTGAAGTGAGGAAAAAAACTATTTGTATAATGTGTGCTGTATGTGCATTTTAGTGTGTTTAAAAGGATGTGGGATGGGCTGAATAAGGAAAACCTAGACCCTCAAAGGTCTCTAAACCACATGGGCCTGAAATTGTCACTGGTCCTGTGACTACCATGAAGAGAGGAGCGCAGTTTCAGAGTTTAGCTTCTGGGAAGATTCCCAACTGTGGCCCCCCTCTCTCCTCCCTCTCAGGAGCTTCCCAATCCCCCTCTACCTGCCCTTAGCCTTCATTTTCAGCCTCACTTCTCCTGCCCAGGACACTTAGTCCTAACACTCCTTCAGGGCTTTGCAAATTCAGCCTCTTCAGGCTCACTGGGTGTTAGCTGGGCTTCTTCCTCCCAGCTCTCTAAACCTCTACCAGCCTGCATCAGGGTTCTCCCATGCTGTCTTCTTGATTTTTCTTCTCTCCATCAGAAATGTCTGTGTCCAGGCCTCCCTGGTGGCGCAGGCGGTTGAGCGCCACACTGTGAAGCTGTCCTCAGCCTCTGCAGCGCCAGTTTGATCCCGGCCGGCCGGCGAAGGTCCCAAATGGTGCAGCAGACCTCTTCTGTCTCGCCCGCTGCTCCCCTCAGCAGTGTATTTCATCAGTCTTCCTATTCTGTTCCCCGCTATGTCTCTGTTGAATTCTCTCACCCTCCCACGAATCTGGCCTGTACCCCAGTTCTTGTGTAAATAAATAAATAAAAATCTTTAAAAAAAAAAAAAGAAAGAAAGAAAGAAATGTCTGTGTCCAGTTTCCTGAAAAAGCTCCTGACTAGCCCACCTTTGTCTCAATGAGTAGACAAGTCACACTGACCTGTCTTCTGCTGTCTGGGTCTGTTGAGCATTCACCTGGGGCAGGGAGGGCTGAGAAGGAAAAAGATCTATTAACTTCACAAAGCAGGCTTGTCTATGCCCAACTCATTATAAGAAATACACAAGAAACTGACAATGAGAGTCAACTCAGAAGAAAGGAATCAAAGCATAGGAGTGGGAGGAGGGTTTTGTTGTTGTTGTTGGTTAAATTGTAGACTTTTCATTAGCTGGGCTACGTATTTGTTCTGGAACCTAAAAGAAAGACATTTGAAAAGTATTTGAAATTTGATGTTTTTATTTAAAAGCATCAAAGAAGTGAAGGAAAATTCAGAACTTTAATATTTTTTCTTATACCTACACTAAATTGTAAGATTAATGTGGTCAAGAATTTGTCCTGAAACAAGGCTTGGAAAGACATTCTCCTGGGAAGAAATGAGCATTTCTGAAGAAATGCTGAAGTCATTCTATAATTTTATGGGACTCAAATTTGTTAGGAGAATCTGATTCTCCACACACCCATTTAAATATAAGTGCCTTTTAACCAAACTTTCAAAATGTATGTATTTGATCTCATAATATCATAGATGTTCTCTTTGACTGTATATACTCTAGTTGAGGAAAAAAACCTCTGAATTAGTTCCCTAAAGGCCTCTTCCTTTGCACATGAGAACGTCATAAAACTTTGATTTCTTCTCATGACTAAACTGTCTGAAATGTCCTCTTTCGTAAGTGTTATTGTTGCTGGTGGTGTTGCTGTTTTGATAAAGGGTTGAGCACCATGATCTTTCGAGGGCTCAAGATCTCTAAGTCTGCTGGATTCTGCAAAATCATATCACTTTATTTTTTAAAAAAGATTTATTTATTTATTTATTTATTTATTTATTTATACAAGAACCGGGGTACAGACCAGATGCACGGAATGTGAGGATTCACCAGAGACAGAGCAGGAAACAGAACAGTCAGACTGACTAAATACACTGCTGAGGGGCACAGCGGGTGAGACAGGAGAGGTCTGCCACTCCATGTGGGACCAGGATCGAACCGCATGCGCCACCAGGGGAAGCCCAAAATCATATCACTTTATAAAATATATGAAATGAATAGACTAATTCCTTTAAAGAATTTTGCTTTAATTACATTTCCCACATAGTCCATTAAAGTAGAATATTGATAAAACATCATCTTCGTGAAAGGAAAATTATAACTCATGCACAAATGTGCACGTGTCCAAGATTTCATTCAATTAATAAAGTACGAGTATGGTATGAGAACCAGTTTCAAAAAGAATTTGAGGAACAATCATCTATATAGGTAATCAGGAATGCTAAAATAAATGTGCTTATAATTGCAAAACTGACAAATATTATTAGAAAAATAAAAGGTAATATCAATGTTACCTTTCTATAGAACAGAAGTCAAGAATCTCTTCTTGATAATAGTATTTGTATTTCTAGTGATAGGAAGCATTTGTATGACTAACAGTTTTCTCCAGCTTCAATTTTGTCCTGTTCATAGGAGACAATCAAATACGCAGAGTTTTATAAAATCAGACAGTATTCTCTTGAGAGTGCCCACATTCCACTAAAAGATAGCCTAATAATTTCTTTAGCCAGCCCCATGTCTTGTACAAATTTTTCTGATAATAACCCATTTTATCTGTAATCGTACTATATCAAAAACCATGTATAGAACAAATTAATGGTGAGTGGAGACTATGAAAATTATAGTTAAACAATTGCCATCTCCTCTGTTTTCCTCTTTCTAAATTTGTAATAAATAATAACAAAATGCTTTCTAAAATTATTTATAATTTCAATCTAAATTCCTTTTTTTTTGGGGGGGGGGGAGAGAAACTTGAAACAATTATTCCAGAGCTCTTCTGGGAAAATAAACATCTGAAAATCATCAAGAAAATTTTTGAAAGGAATTGAGAGAATGGGGCTGGTGTCAGTGGCTAGGCAAGAAGGAAATGGAGAGACTTGCCTTCCCTGACATTAGAATTAACAGTCATTTGAAATTTGTAGTAACAAAAACAGGAATAGGTAGATTAATAAAACAATATAAAGCCTCAAGTCAGACCCAAATGTAAATATCTACAATGTGCTAAAGATCTAAAACCAGGGTACAAATGCTGGGTTATCACTAAGTGACACCAAGACAACTAACTACATAGTTGTTTAAAAATTTTTTAAATCTATAAAACATCATTTGGAATTAGCTAGGTGGAGGGTGAGGCTCAGACACCTTAGACAGGGCAAAGGAAAATGGTGCATGCAAGGAGAAAATAGTGACTGGTTTAGATGAAAAACCTAATGTCCAACAGAGAATGGCAAGAGTTATTCAACCATTCATCAACTGATGGATGTTGGGTTATTTTTGGCTATCATGGGTTATGCTGCTAGAACATTGTACAAGTTCTTATGTGGATATAGTTTTTATTTCTCTTGACTATACATCTAGGAGGGAATTGCTGGGTCATAAAGTCATGCCATTTAACTTTTTGATGAATTGCCAGACTGCACCAGCTATATTTTTTTTTTTATTACACTAGTGAAACTAGTGAATATTATTTGTCTTTACAAAAGGTTTGTGTTGCACTTGATGGAAGAGAATGTTTGACTGTAGTGGTCCACTGATGCCCTCTGTGCAGAGCAAATCAGAGCTTTGCTGGTCACAGAGCCCCTTTCCAAACCAAGACTGCCCTCAGCCGCACGCTGGGGTTGGAAACGTGACTCTTAAATACAGGCACGATTACTTTTCCTCTTCACTCATCATCCACTCCCCAGCAACATCTTAATTTCAAAATAGCGTGTTTAAGATGGCATGTGATTCTCAATTAATTTTGTCACCCAATTATAATTGTGTGAT